TGTGAGGAGATACCTACAACTCTTGTCTATTTGTTGTGAGGGTTAAATGACCTAACATACGAAAGGGTGTTACCATTGCTATCACTAGGAAATGATTAGTTGTTCTGTCTACAACATCATTATTATCACCATATCTACTATTTTGCAAGGTATGGTCCACACAGACAGTAAGTTAGGACCCAAAAGAGCAAACAGTTGAATCTTTCAGTAGGATGATGCTTCCTGGGATAAGCCATGGCTTGATTCTTGCATATTCTGGTGAAGGAAACTGGTATGGTCTGAAAGTTAATATCTCTCAAGGCTCAATTAAACCCCAACCCCAAAGGCAATATTTTTTGAAGTTCAGGCCTTTGGGAATGACCAAATGGGAAATTGTTTGTGGAGAGGAATAGCCTTATCCAAAGAGACACCAGTGGCTGGGGAGATGACCCTGTAGGCAAGAGCACTGGCTGGGTAAGCATAAGGACCCCAGTTCAAATCCCTAATACCCATGGAAAATATTGGGCATGGTCACACACATGCTTATTATTAGAGTACTGAGGAAGGTGGGGACAAGAAGGTCCCTGGCCTGTCCCACCAGCCTAGTTCCGGTTTCAGTGAGAGAGCCTGTCTCAAGAGAACAAAGTGGAGAATGATGGAGCATGTCTCCCAACTTCTCCTTTGCCAATACCCCCATCCCGCAGGTGCAGAAAACAGTGGGAAGATGCTGTGTTTGAAACAGAAAGTTGACTCTCACAAGGGGTAGAATGTGTGGGTGCCTGGATCTTGGACATCTCATCCTGCAGAACTCAAAATTAGAATTTCTATCTGTAGGCCACTCAGTCTCTGGCATTTCTTACAGCAACTCAAAGAGACTAAGATGCAAACAGATGGACCCATGACTACCATTTGGCTAAAGACTTGTAGGGCCCCCAAAGTTCACAGTTGGAAATTCTAGCACCCAATGTGATGGGATAGTAGGCCGTGAGGGAGCCATCATGAATGACATCAGCATCTTATGATACAGACTCGATTTCTCACTCCCTGCCGTCAGATAACTGGTGAGAAGACGACTGCCTATGAAGTAAGAATCATGTCCATATCATATTCCAGCCTTTGATCACTTTGATCTTTGGTTTTCATTATCCAGAACTGTGGGAAATTAATGTTTGCTGTTGAGGACAGCTAGTCTACAGTGTTCTAACAGCAGCAACTGACTCAAATACCTAGAAAGGGAGCAATTCTGTATTTTTGTTCCTTCTTCCTCCATTCAGAAGCTTGTACATCTCTTCTGTCAATTCTCTTGAAAAGTCTTCTAGAAGGTTGTACTATTTGGCCAAATGACCAGGAAATAACACCTGCCCTTTAATTTTTCAAGAAGAATTGAAAAAAACAAAACAAACCCAAAAAACTAGAAAAACTAAAAAAACCCCTAGAAACGGAGCTAAATGTTTTTTGGTTTTTTTCATATATATATATATATATATATATATGATTTTAAGATCAGAAAAAAAAAGCAGAACTGTAAAAAAATATTTTTTCTAAGTTGACTTGGGAGCACACTAGTGTTTCTGTGTTGCAAGCCTCTGGCTGCAGCTTCAGCTCAGGACAGGGTTTGGGCATCCCTCACTTCTGTTCACCTTTTCCCCCTGACCTGAGGCACATCTGTTCTGTGTGGATTTGCCATTTTCAGGTTGCCATGTAACATAATTTTTATGGATGGTTCCATCAAACATCATATGGTGCCTGCTTTGGATACTTCCCAGACAGCCCGAGTATTTCTCCTCATCCCTCAGGACCTCAGGAAGGCTTACAGAAAAGTTTCTAGCTGATTAAAAACAAATTCTACAGCCAGAATCCACAAATGTTTGTTTTATGGATGAGGTAACCATGGAAAATGCAATAAACAAAACAGAAATAGTCCTTGCTCTGCTGTGAACATGTGACTCCGGGCTGCTGCCGTGGGTAGGGGGTGGGGGCTGGGGGGCAGAGTCGTTCTTTCAGCAACTCTACTAATGGTCTGTGAAATATAGGAGCTCACTTAGGTGATTCCATGCTGACTCGTGTGTGTGTGTGTGTGTGTGTGTGTGTGTGTGTGTATTCAATGAGAATCTAACAATCAACAAGTGGCTTCTGACCTCTCCCGTGATTGCCTGGCTCCTCTCTCAATGAATTTGCTGTGAGAATGGAAGCCCTGTGCTACCATAGTCCAAGCACTGCCCACACCTGTGTAGAACAGCTTTTTCCCTGTCTAGCTTCTCCCTCTCCTGTCCTCCTCGTGTCTGTGTTGGAGGCTCAGGATTTTCCTTCTCTCCAGGTCACTACAGGGAGACAAATCTTGAAGTAGGGACAGGAAGCTTTCTCAACCACCACAGAAGTTGCCTCTTTGGCTTATCTTTAGCTGAGTGAGGGACCAGTTCACATCCTCTGAGAGAAGTAATGACAGCTGATTTCTCATACATACAAAAAACTACACAGAAATCCACAAACCAAGTTCGAAGACAAGTACAAATGACTGGCTCCACTGAAGCTCTGGTTCCTTGTTTCAGTCATTAATGCAATGAAAATACTCACTAACATTTGGGTGCAGTCAGGACATTTGGTGCTTCAGGCTCCTTGCAACAGTTGTATGAGATAGGGACCGATTCGAAGTCTCCTTCATAGAGGAGAACACTGAGGCACATGGCTTTTAAAGAAGCCTTCTTTTTTGAAGGAATGGCAGAGCCTATTGACTAAGCAACCTCCAAAGAGCCTCGTATGTAGCGTTGCAAAGCCAGTTAACCTTAGCCTTGGCCTCACCTGTCATCTTCAAACCGAGATAGCTGATATTATCTTTACACGAAGATATGCAGACATTCACAGAAATATACCAGGAAATGGAAAAAAGACTGGTCATACAGCCAGGGTGGTCATACAACCACCCTGTCCTAGGTATGTTATGGATGGACACAGCCACACACACCCCCACACATGCACACCCTATTTTTACTGAGACATTTAAACACAGACATTAAAAATATAGTTTCTGTAAGCCTGTTTTGTTACTTCTTCATTGTTTTAACGTAAGGAGAGTCTGAACGATGAAACTGGCCGTCTTGTCTCCCTTCTTCATTTTATATGTCATGTCAAGAGATGGAGACAGAACTATTATCTCCTCAGGGGTCACTTGATGACCTACTGAGAGATCACAGTCTTCTGACCTGCACCCACTAACTCTGACCCTGACTCCCCTGGGGAGGGCTTGGGGAGGAGAAACTGCATTACTTTCCCGGAGGCTATCAAGTATTTATCATAAGGCCAATGGCTCTTCCCATTTTTTCTCTGACTGTATTAAATATATTCCTATAGCAAACATTCACCTTTCAAATTCCTGTTGGAGCTGCAAATCAATAGTAAGCCTCAGGCCTGCCCTGGGAAGGAGGAGATGCAGGTATTGCTGTTTCTATTTTTTCAAAGAAAGTGGGGTGGGGCAAAAGTCAAGAAATGTTCCACGCCTTTCCTGAAGGAGCACAGAGAGGGAGAGGCAGGGCTGCCCTGGTTCTTCAAGACTCCTGGCTTGGCACAGTGGGTCAGACCACACAGCTTTCCTGTGTTCCACGTGTCTTACAGGCATTGCAGTGAGGAACAGCACAGACACTTCTGTTCTCGTGGCACTGTTCAAACTCTCTGCTGTAGTCTCTCTGAAAGAAGCTATTTTTTACGTGATAGGCAACTTGCTGAAGAGATAATTAGATCTGCTGAGGGACAGCCACAGACACGATTTCTGCAGAGATACGGAGCATTCCCAGCGTTCCTAAGGCATTTCCTGTTCAGCCTTTCCAGTGGTGAGGTAGAAGGTATATTTAAATGAAGTTTTAGCCTGGCAAATTAGCATATTGCAATAAAAATGCATTCTTCATAGTCCTAAAAGTTCTTGCCTAACACCTATTTTTAATAAAAGAAGATATTTTAATTTAATAAATAAAAGACAAACTCTTTCGGCTTTGTGCCAGTAGATAAACACACACACAAATACACAAACAATGTTTGATCCTGCCTTGCTGCAGGGCATTTCATCCTTCAAGAGACCAGGGGAAAAACAACCTCGTAACTTCACCACCAAAACTTCCAAATTTATTGCAACACAACGTAATGGCAAAATATTATTTTCTTAGCAGAAACACATTTAAAAAAAAAAAAAAACCATCATGGCCAAGAATGCCTGGTTTTGTTTTTACAATAAACTTCAAAAAAATCTTGAATTCCGTTCTTGGTTTGGAGATGGTTAGAGATGTTGCGGCTTGTTTGGAGGAAAGAATCCTGACTAATTGTTCGATTCAATCCTCTGTTTAACCTGTGCCTCAGGCATTTATTTCATGTTTATACTGGTTCCACACAATCACCCTTAAAAGAGATTGTGCGTCCTTTCTTCTCATGCAAAGTTGAGCTACAGTGGCAAGGCTAACAATGCCAACCCGTTCTTGGGCTTATCAATAACAGAAGCATTCAGTCTAAGAAAACCCTTCTATTGTAAACAGTCAAAGCCTTGCATATCTAGCCACGTTCCTCGGAGACCTGCCTCCATAGAGAGACTCGACTCACTCAGAATCATTTCTCTTTTTGCATCACTGTGCTCACCCCTTATATGGCTTTTCATACATTAAGCAGTCACTGCCTTGTTAATGCATTCTTTATAGGAAACAAATAAAACTTTTTTTTTAAAGAAAGAAAGATGTAAATTACTTAAAGGCTCCTCACAAATGCCACATTTTCCAACTGACTTTAACCGTAATGAAGTTACTTTAGTGACAATGCAAAAACTTTGTTCTCATATTAACACCTCAGCATATAGCACATATATGGTTATTTATGACCACGCCAACTGGCATCCACTTCTATCACAATTCTCTTTGAGCTGAAATTTATCCTCTGGCTTAGGCATTTATGCTTGTTTTTCAACAAAAAGTACTCTTTAATGTTTTAATAACAATGCATGGAAAAGCAGTTATCTGTGCCTTCCTTGAGTAATTCATCAGACGTACCTTGTTTGAAGAAAGCAGTGTTTTTCCCCCCTAAATTTTCCACCACAAAGAATGGTTATTCTTTTTTCTTTAAGCTTTTCTGCATCACGAATCCCATCCAAATTATTCTAAAGAAGAATCAAGAGGAGGTCCAGGAACCTTTTCTCTTCTCAGACGAGCTAAGCAAACATTCCCATCCACCTCTCAGCCCTTTGGAAAGCTCATTTTGTAACACTCACCACACACACACACACACACACACACACACACAAACACACTCGCCTCTCATACTGGGCTTAGTGCTGAATTAGGCGGTCCCCTTTCAAATTTCCACTCCCACTTGCTTTTTTTTTTTTTTTTTTTTTTTTTTTTTGGGAAAGGATTTCTAAATATTCTTTTCTAACCCAAAGCACACATTCAGCAAGCAAGCAAATTCTACAATTAGATATTCTGAGACACAGAAGTGGAGGAGTTAGATAGGGGTTTTTATTTTCTTAAAAACATGCCTTAAAAAGTATCTGAGAAGGGGCTGTTGATTTTTTCTTCCCCTTTCTTTTTTGAGCACTAATGAACACAGCTAGATTAAGCTGTATGAAGACAGGAACATCGCCCAGCTTATCCTACTGGACTCTTGCCTTTGCACTGGAAACACATATTTTTCCTAGTTGTGGATGCTACTGCTTTGTTTTGCTTTGCTTCCATCCTTGCTGGTTTGGAAAAGCTCCATGAAATAATTGAGGTGTAGGCTGCTGGTAAAAGGACACACGGTAATAATAGTGGGAGGCCATCTCTGACTCATATTTCACAAAAAAACAAAACAAAACAAAAAACCCTTCGTCTTGGGTATCTCTCATCTTCGGGGAAAACTGCCCATTTTAGTTACTTACATGTTAGTGACATCAGGGATATTTGGGCTCCAGACGTACATACGTGTATGCCAACATTTAAAAAAAAAATCTGACCAAAAGCAAAACAAGAGTCCATCTGACAGTGCTCAAGGCTACACTGTCTATCAGTGTGACGGGGCATCCTTTTCTCCAGCTGGGCAAAGGGTAGCAAAGAGCCATTCCTCCTCCTGCTGGGGAGTGTGCATTCCCGCAGCTGGATGAGAGAACTTTTTTCCACTCTGGCATCCTCCTGTCCTCATCTCCTGGCGTTGGAATGGCCCTCTGCTTAACACTCCTGTTGCCATGTCATTTAGCCAATCTTGTTTCCTCTCTCAACAAATTCTGGTGGCAGGTCAGGAAGATGCTATCCCTCAGAAGGTCAGTGATCCTGCGGCTTGTGTCAGGTCAGCTTCATATGAAGCCTAACTAGATGGAACTCATAAAAATACTGGAATCATAGCTTCCCAGGCACTTTTTCCTGGGAGTGGTGCTCATTATTTACACGCAACACATTCTTCAGTACTTTGAAGTATAAAAAAGTGTATGTTATATAATACATTACTTAGTACTCAGAAGTAATACATTACTTAGTATGAACACGTCAGTTAGTGCTTAGAAGACTATGTAACAGTCAATACCGTTAGCTTTGTTTGACAGATAAGGGAACGCAGGCTCAGAGAGTGTGAATACTTTTCCCAAGGTCTTTCACATACAGGAACAAGACCTTGGATTCTTATTTAAGACTCCCTGACTCCAGATCAAAGGAGCTATTTAGTGCTCACAATTGCTACTTAAACTTCAATTTAAATTCTTACAGTGAATAAAGGACAAATAAAATGTGAATGTACTAAAAAGCAAATGAAGAACTGTTCAAAGATAACAAAAATATGTGATGTCTGGGGTGAAGAAATCTTTGGACATAGAAGTTGCCTAGTGTCATGGATGCAACTTGTGCTACTAAATTGTGACCTGAAAACGGCAAAAATTTTGTAATAGCAAAATATATGTAATATAGTTTTACTTGATAAAAAAATACTCAGCAAGAGGGAGCAATACTTTTAAAAAGAAGTGAAAATGAAACATTGTTTGATTTTTCAAAATGTTGTCAAAAGTAGGAATCTAGAGTTCATGGCAGACATGCTGGCTCTTGATGGCAAGTAGATATGGCTGCTGCAGAAAGAAATCCAGAAGCCCTTGGTTGAGTGCGTGTGCATGCTACCGCCCACCAAATCACTCTCTGCTGCACGTTCCAGCGAGTTCTTCACACAGAGAACTCAGGAACCAAGTGTGAGAGGCACACAGCATGGATGTAGAACCCGAAGCAAAAGCCTAAGGCTTACCTTGAGCCAAGGTCCCCACACTCATTTTCTTAATGGCTTTGCTCAAATGCCAGCCGAGGGAGCCTGTCCTATCTGCCCTCTTTAAAATGTCACCCTCACCGTGAACATTTCTTTTCCTCTCCTCTTTTATAGCCTCTGTTAGCCTTTAATGATATCCCTACTTGATTTTGTTTTTAATTGAACACCTACTAAGATAAATATAGGCTCTGAAACGAAAGAGGTTATTTTCTGTTTTATTCACATACATATTCTTGGCTCTTGAATCCAACACATACTACCCATACAGTAAATATGAACCCAATGCATGACTGGAAATACATTAGGATGGCTAGGTATAGTGAAGAGAGTGGATAATTAAGATCACCAGAATAAAATCACTCAAGAAAAGTCCTAGAGTCTTGTGTGAACCAGTGGGTGCTGAGACTGGAGTCCAGTCCCCATACTCAGACAACTGCTAACAGCAACAATGCCTACAACTAAGTCAATTAATTTGGTGGCTTCAAGGAGATCCTTGCTTGATTTCTAGAGTCACAGTTTCCTGGCAAAGAGCCTCAAGGTTGTTGCTTGCTGGGTGTCAGATGAAATATACGTGAGAATAAAGATTTTGGGGTTGGGTGGGGCTATAGCTCAGTTGGTGGGGGGTTTGCCCAGAGTGAGCCACAGCCTCATGGCCAGCACTGCAGAAACTGGACATGTTGACACATGTCTGTGGTACCAGAATGCAAAGTGAGGAGGCAGGAGGATCATTTAAGGTCATTTTCTGCTACATAGTGAGTTCAAGGCCAGCCTGGGCTACAGAAGGCTCTTCTGGAGGGCGGGGAGTGGGGGCAGAAAGCAAAATTGTGCTGTTCAGTTTCCCCAAGATTCTAAACTGCTTTTCAATCAATTCCTCATTGCTTGAAGCCCCTGCTCTTTCCCAAAGAGCTTGTCACTACACACAATCTTGGTGCCCTAGTCTTACATCCAGCACACACACAAAGCCTCCAATCTCTTTTAGAACATTCTCTACTGAAACTTTTTATAATTGTCATAAGCAGTGAACTTGATGGTTCTCTAAAATACTGCCTCATTTTTCCCCCGTTTTCGCTCCATAGCATGTGAGGTGATCAGTGCAACCATCACCTTATACATCTATTCTTTTATGTGACTTTTAAAAATGCAGGCTGGCAAGTTAAGAGTCTATGTAATGAGGCAGCCTTTCCCAACACTCCGGATACCTTCACTGTGTGCACATATAAAACACGAGTTACACCTTCATAACACAAACGCACTGAAATATCTCAGCTTTATTGTGTTTGATGCTACATCAATTTTTCATAGAAATTTGATTTGTCTTGAACTCTTCTGTAACAGACCTAAGGCTCTCCCTTCAGTGGTTGGAGCTCACTGCAGGAATCTGATGCCAGATCAGTGTCCCAGAGGCTGCTGGGCCGTGATGAGCACACACCCTTGTGGCATCAATGCGAATGGAAAATTCGCCAACCCAATTAGCCTTCGTTAAGTTTATATCGTGCTGCTGTTAGAAGCAAAGAGTGTTATGAGAAAAATATACCGTTCTAAGAACAAAAGGAGCCAAATGAGGAGCAGGGCCAACTTCTGGACAGGTAGAGAATAGATGAGCAAAAGTGAGTTTCTGCCAAGCAATGTAAGAGAAAGAGGTTGAGAGCATGGTAAAGGAAAAAACTGACTGAATACTAAACATGAACCACTAATTATGAGCAAAAGGCAAACCCGGTGAAGGAACGAAGATGACTGGGTGCTTGAATGCATCTTCTTCCTTGGGTCATTAAAGTCAAGCACAGAAACAAATTGTGGAAAAGATTACTAATCTCAAATGCTGCCTGGAAGCCAGTGAGTTGGACCCACTGTACTGTACAATACTCACAATAATCTAGGATAAACAGACAAAAAAGAAAAAGTCCAGATGAGACACTGTGACAGCTCCGGCATGAAAGAGGTTAAATGACCTATCGGCTGATCTCAGGAATTGGAGAGTAGCCTGTGAATCCCAGCATTGCACAGCACTGCTGACCTGGCGGGTTTGTAAAGCATGAAAGCATCTTGTGCAAAATCAGGGTTCACAATGGTGAGCAGGAGATTATAGGCCTTGTAGATTCCCATTACGCCCAGTGAGCACATCAAGTCTAAAATAAAAGAGTGGTTCACAGAACGTGGCTAGCTGGGACTCTGCTGACATAAGCTATGCTCTATTCTGTGTTCTAATCTTCTCTCTGGAGGCCTTGGGCCAGCTGAAGAATCTCTGCTCTAGAGTCCCCCCTCCTGCTATGGAGACTTCATACACCAGAGAAGTTCTCATAGCAAAGGCAATGTTGCAAGAGGGTAGTAGGAACAATGTGAGGTTTGGTAAGGTTGGCCTCATGGGTCTGGCCCAATGATTCGGCTAACTGAAATTCCATCATGAGGAGAAAGTCAAGAGGCTGGGACTTGAAGAGGCCCAGGAAGAGAGAATGGCAAAGGCTAGAGGCCGCAGTGTTAGAGTGCTTAAGGAGTTTGTTCTCGGTCTTTGGTTCAATCCCAGCACTGGAGGAAGGGACAGGGAGAAGCTTTGGCAAAAGTGTGAATGACCGTTGAAGAGAGGAGGGAAGAGTCAGGATCAGTAATTCAACTGATGACACCATTCATTCACTTTTAACCTTTCTTTGTCCTTATGCTCATCATACATGTCAACAGCATTCACTTATATTTAACTTGTCTCTGCATTTTTTAAATTTTAACCTATTTTTTTTCTTTTTCTTATTAGTTACATTTTGTTAACTCTGTATCCCAGCTGGAATTTTAACCTATTTATATTCATTGTGATTACTGAAATGGTTGGTGTTATCTTTTGTATCTTTTATTTCCTTTCTGTCTTTGCCAGTTTTCATTTTCTGTGTTCTGTATTAATGACATTTCTATGTTCA